AATGAGTGAGGATCCTCTGCCGCCTGTTTATTTGCAAACTATCCAGTATATGCATATTTCAGAACTGCAACCACGGCACACTTGGGACTTATTTAGCAGAGATGCGGGCAACAACGTTGTAGTTCCTTATCTCCGCGAGCTACTTTTGACGCATTTCGGTAGCTCAAAAAGCAACATTGTTTCTGTGACAGAAAATCGCAAGCTATACTTTCTACGGCTACAAACCTTGATACTAGCTGAAGAGCCTCACATTATTCATTTCTTAATATGGCGGCTCTTCCCGATAAAATGGATAAAATTAATATATGTGTCAACGCCTCAACCTTCATGAAATCCTCTGGTGTGATATTGCCAGCAGCAAAGTCATTAAAATGCAAAGCTTATGGTGAGTTTTTTTGGGTATGTGCATAGATAGCACAGAGTTCTTTTTGTGCTTCAATCGGTTATTACAAAATTCACATGGTTGTGGGGAGATTGAGGTCGATATTGATGACTTGACACCTGTATATACTAACCGACTATACTGTAGTGGAATAACTACTTTACGGCTAGACTTGAATGTTGATTTTGAAGTCGCGAAGGCTATAATTGCCAGTCATCCACGACTGATTTGGCTTTGTCTGACTGTGTTTTCGGGGTAAATGTTGCATTGAAGATGAGATTAAGCAAAATGCTACTCCACTGAACACAGCTTAAAAATACTACAAGCAGATGGCTATATGTCTGATGAACCTTCATGTTTTCAATTAGCTCTAAAGTACTTTATGGTACGCCTACCAGCTTTAGAATCTGCTTCTGTACAACATGAAGACAAGACTGGTCTGCAGTTGTTTGTATTGGAGAATAGGCTAGAGTACCTGCATTTAGAGAATATTAGTTTTTAGTTTATAGCCGGATGAGTGACATCATAAGCAATTTTTTTCTCTCCAAAGGTTGCAGAAAAACATACTTTGATTTCCAATCTTCTAGAAAATGTCTTGCAGCTATCAATTGCACATATTTTTACAACTTCCGCTTTAATTATTTCTGTTACTATGGAAACGTCATATAGCTTCTATTTGAAACGACGGTTTTCGCGCTCAATTCTAGTATATCCTGGAGAACTCGATGCAATGCCAAAGAGTAATAACGCAGAGTATGCGCTGAAACCAAGCACGCACAAGTTAAAGATGTGGAACTCTAACAAGTCAAATATTCTGCTGTCAAGCAATGTCAAAGATTCCTCATCTCCAACAATGGTTGTTCACAGTGAAAACATGGTTTCTGCTGTAGAGATGAGCCGTAGCTCTAAGAAAGGATACACATTTGTGTATAATTCTGACAAGTACTGCTGGCTTCCTTCGGGCAGCTATGGAATTATGAATCTCTATGACCCAAACGAGTCAATTGCCGCTTATGACCAGTCTGAAACGGTAAAATGCCGGAATGGGCAAAGTGCGTATTCCAGTGAATGTCTACGATAACTTTTAACTGCTGGTGCTTTTCGCTTGCGTAATGAACTACTAATCCTTAGAAGTCGGATGAAAGAGCTGAGATTCTTACTGGTGCTGTATTGGCAATATCCGGTGCATAGCACGCCATCACCCATAATTTAAACATTTTTGTGCTTTTTTAATTGTAACAAGAAATAACTTTTTAGTATTTCTAGTTTTTCTAGCGCCAAACAGATGGATGCCCCTAACGATGATGTGCTAAAGTGTGTATTTGACTGGGCACTTTGCAAGCTGCCTTTGGACATTGAGGGCTTTCAGAAGGATATAAAGATGCTTCATGTTTGCCAACGCTGGAGACGGATGCTATTGCCACGCATTTACAAACAGGTGTTTATTACAAGCGCTGACAAGCATTGGATTAAGCTGCAAACCAATATAGATTTAGCTACAACCAACGGCTATTTGAATTACTGTCGACATATAATAATCAAAATCCGTAGCTCAAATGAATTATGCAGCAAAGTCCACAATGCTATAAGCCAGATACGGCGTTATTCCAATGTGTGGACTTTGGTTTCTCAGCTAACGATTATATTAGAGAACATTAGATATGTGGACACAAATGGCATAGGTGCAGCTGTAGATAGTGAAGGGGTTAATAGGACAGCTCGCTATATTGCACATGCTTTGCCTAATATTTCAAAGATACGTGTAGACAGCGTAATAGAAGATGAAGAGATAAGTGGATTGCTTAATTTGCTGATAGGTCACTATAAGAATAGTCTGGTTGACGTATCGACAAAAGCAGCGCAGATAAATTTAATAGAGGCGCTCCAGCTAAAACGTTTAAAGATCATGTTTGCTTGCAGCGTAAATTCAACATTTTCTTTGCTGTTTTGCGATACTCTGAAGTACTTGAACCTGGCTATAGTTCCGCATGAGCAGCTGTGTAGCTTGTTTGGGAGCAATGGCAGCCCAAGGATATTTCCAAATCTTCAATATCTAAATATTCACTCGCCACTAGACTACATTGACTCGACAACTGAGGAGATGATACAGCGCCATATTTCCTGCTCGCGGCTGTATCTTCCAAGCTTGCGCAGTCTTATTCTAGTCAACAACTACAAGTACTGTCCTATTTTGAGTACTGCCGTGTTGCCCCAGCAGATGGATATATTTTCTGTTTCTGTGTCGCCTCAAACCATTATGATGTTGGCCAAATCAGCTATTCCTCAAGTACAGCAGTTTTCGGTCAGGTTATATTCATGTACAGATGTTGAGCGCAGCAGTACAGTAGTAGCACTAAACTATATGTTTCACCAAACTTCTATTGATACCAACGCTATGCTGACGTTCGATAGCCCAACTCGCTCTATCATGCCCAGCGAAATTAATGGTGCCAATATAAGCTATTTGTCTGTGCGTAGAAAAGTGACTTTAAAGATGCTGATGGGATTTATGAGCAATCTTCCAGCACTGAGCAGGCTTGAGACTCATTTAGATCAAAGTGATGAAAGTGAACTGGAGCTAGCTGTTCCCGACAGTGTTGAGCACCCATTACCGCCATTTACTGCCCGGGTCAATTATTTTAGATTGGACTACGATTCTAGTACGGATTCAATTGTGCCATTTATCAAGTATATATTGCTACGGCTGCCTCATATAAAGACGCTCAGCTCGTATATGACTTTCAGTAAGCCCATACTGGAGTTTGTAGAGGAATACAAATCACGTTACCCGCACTTGACCATTGTAGACTTTATTTTAAATCCTGTGAATCTATGGCATATCTAGCTTTCTTTTTCTTTTTGTGTTTATAGATGGCTCGCACTTTTACGCTATTTAAACGAAAAAGGCTTTCTCGCGGCGTGTTTGTCTACGCAGGAGAGCTGGAGAAAGAGCCGAAAACGGACAGAATAAGCTCGCTGGCCTACTCTATCGAGCAAAACAGTCGGCACTTTGAGCTGTGGAAGCACTCGCAGCCAACTTCCAACATAGTTTTAACGGGCGACTTTAAAGGCTTCCTTGGACACTCGGCAGAAATTAGCGGGAGTCACTTTGTTGCCAGTGCCAAGCGCAATGGAAAGTTCCGAAGCGGCTGGACCTTCGAGTATATGTCCAAGAGCTACAAATGGTCGGTTTCGCTGATGAACAGGTCCTGGACTTTGAAGGACGAAGGCGATAATGTCATAGCCGAGTTTGACAGAGCTTCCTTTAGCATCTCCAAAGTCGGGATACTGAAGATGTACGAGGATATGGATGACGAGTCTTTTCGGGAAATGGTTCTGATAACCTGCGAGATTGTGCACAGGACTGTTAAATCGACGGAGCGCAAGAGTGGAGGAGGAGGATAAGCACTTGTTATTTTTCTGAAGAAGTATGGACTGTTCTGTATAGAATAAATCAAAGGATGAGACTGCGCGAAATCAACACAAGGGATGAGGTGTCGTCATTATCTATTTTAAGAAAGCTCCCTGAAATATATAAAAAGGGAAGGGTGATTCTCCCCATGTTTGTATTTTATTCAACATGGACACATTCTACTCACTATTCTACAAAAAGACGTTCTCTAGCGATATAGTTGCCTTTCCCGGCACCTTCCACGATCGCCCCGATGCCTACGATCAGCCATACGACTATAGCTTTCATACCGGACTCCGAAAATACGAGTTTTGGAATTCCCTATCGGGTACAGAGCCCCAAATGACTGGCAAACACGAAAAGCTATTCACTCGGACACACACCATCCGCGCCAACAATGGCATAGTATCTACTTTGAAACAACGCGGCTCGTGCTTCCGCAGCAAGTGGACCCTAGTCTTTAACTCGGAAGAGTTTGAATGGAAGGGCGATTGGAAGTCCAAGCACTTTGTTCTGACCAATCAGAGCGGCCATCCGGTGGCAAAGTTTGATCGGGCTTCGAGGAGAATGAGCAAGGTCGGTGATCTGATTATCTATGGCCAGCACGATGATACAGTAAAGGCGCTAATTGTGTTCACCTGCTGCATCGTGTACCAGACAGTGCTATCTAGCGAGCGGAGCAGTGCCGCTGCCGCCTCGTCATCCTCTGCCGCTGCTGCTGTCTCTGTATAAACTGCAATATATATTACTCTTTTATTTTTATTTGTGAATATACTTTTACTTAATCTTGTGGCATTGTTTCAGCTATTAAGAATAGAAACGAGGGAGGGATGGCTTGCCGGTTTACTAAATCTGGCCCCCATTACTGCAGAGTAAGCATTGGGACTGAGCCACTCGGCCCAGTAAGTCGCCTGAAAAAAGGGCAGCTCATATGCATTCCCCAACCATTTTATCCAGCTTTAGAGTGACATTGATGCTAAAGTACGTACGTTCAGAAGCGAAAACGGACTAGATTTGGTTGAAATCGGTTCAATTAACTGAATCGAGCCGGGCTAGCTCAATCGGCAGAGCGTAAGACTCTTAATCTTAAGGTTGCGGGTTCGACCCCCGCGTTCGGCTTATTTTTTTTGCCTTTTTTTATTGAATTTACGGCAGTTAGCTCTGACCCAATTTTTTTTGCATTTTTAATATAGTAAAGCGATGCTAGCCGGGCTAGCTCAAACAACGGCAGAGCATAAGACTCCTAATCTTAAGGCTGTGGGTTCAAGTCCCGCGTCCGGTATGCTTTTTCTCCGCGCCAGAAGAGGTTACTGCAAATATATATTCGTAACTAGTAAATAACAGAAAGGGGGGAATTAGCGGCTGAACTTCTTTTCCAAAAGCTCCAGCAGTTTGACGACGCTGAGGTGGACATACTCGAGATCGAGGATCTCAATGCGGTTGTGCTTGCGCTCAAGCAGGTCCTCGAGAAGCAGATCCATGTTGATGACGGGCTTTTCGCGGCCCTTGTAAAACAGCTTGACCACGTACGAGGCGGTGGAGGGGCTGCTGAAGGTAAAGTACACCTTGTCCTGGCGGTTCTCGGGGATGTTGGACTTGCACACAACCCCCATGCGCTCCAGCGCGTCCAGCTTAAAGTCGTAGGATACCGGGCGCTGGCTGTCGTTGTGCTTTTGCAGCTGCTGGCGGCGGCTCTGCAGTGGGCGCGGGTCAACAACCGATACTCCGACAGGCATCTTTTTGCGCTGGTTCTTGGGCGTTGCCGACTGCATGCGTACGTTGCTCAGGTAGGCCTTATATGTTTCGATCTGGGCAGACAGATAGCCGTTGTAGTCGCAGATTGTCTTGTACACGTCGGTTAGCCCGGCGATTTCGTCCTCGACTTTGTCGCGCAGACTACCCAGATGGGCCAGTTCGTGCAGGATCTCCTCGGTCAGGTAGCGGTAGCCGTCGCTGCGGTCAACGGCGCCGCTTTGCTCCAGCTCGATGAGCATTTCGCGCACCTTGATGCCCTTGCGCACCAGCATCGGATCCTTGGATGTTGCTGCTTGTTCGGCAACAAACAGCAGGTCATTTTTGGCTGCTCCGTTGTTTTCAGGCTTGTAGCGGTTGTACTTGAGGTGCGGCATGCTGCGGATTATCTGCACCAGAATCGACTTGGTTTCCACGTACATAATATCGTGCTGTGTCAGGGCGTTGTCTGCCGCCAGGGTTGACAGATCGGATAGAATGGGCGTTTCCCAGCGGCTAAACAGTCCCAGCTCCAGCGTCGCGTTGAGGTTGCGCGGCACCAGCGGCGGGGCCTCGCCGAGCTCGTCCAATAGCGTGCGCAGATGCGAGTCTGGCGAAGGCGCCAGCACGTGCAGATGCTGTCGCAGCAGCGCATGCGTGTTGTACAGCTCATTGAGTGAAATGCTCAGCGAAATGTCGTGTTTGGTCAAAGCAACATACTGGTCCATTTCCATGTTCTCGTAGAAATCGCTTACTTCGCACAGCTCGTTCAGGAACCGGTTGATCCGCGCTCGGTTCGAGTCGATAAACGGCGCCAGCTCCTCCATGTACTTTTCCTTGGCATATGTGGGCTTGTTGTTGAGGTTCTGCAGAAGCTTTGCCACCAGGGTCAGCACGCGTCGTGGATGCTGCGTGGGTGCATTTTCAATCAGCATATGTGCCTGCGGCGTGACTATGGCCGGGTTGATATAACGCAGGAAAAAGAACCCGCCAATCAGCGAGCACACGGCCGAGTCGGGGGCGTCCGGGTACCGCCGCTTCGTCAGCGACCGGATCTGCTTACAAATCCACCGGATACCGTACGGCGTGCTGTCCCTGTGCTCCACGATCGTGTCCAGAAACCGCTTGGTGATGCGAGTGAGCTCTTCCACCCGTGGCTCGATTGCTGCCCGCACCAGCGGATTGTTGGTGGCGTCTTCGGTCGATACTCCCTGCGGAAAGTCGTCTACGGGCAGCCCACGGTCCACACGCTCCTGCCGCAGTTCCTCGTATACCTTGAGCGGGTTGATTTCCAGATTCAAGTCGCAGTTCTCGATGATCCGCCCAATCTCTTGCGAAATCACGTTTTTCAAGTACACCTGCCCCGGGCCGCGGCTGGTGTATGTGTTCATCATCCGTGATACGGGCGTGTTCTGCCGCAGCAAATTCGAAAACTCCTGCGTGGTCTCAAACTGCGCCGCCAGCACCAGCTGGAACATGGTCAGCAGCAGGTGTTCCTCGCGAGACTCGTACTGGTTGCCATACAGCGTAAACATGACCGTCTGTAGCAGCGTGTCAATCTCGCTCAGCGTTACTAGCCGTGTCAGCGACGCAATGTGCCGTGGCTCGTTCTGCAGCAGGAAAAACAGGTTTCCGTACAGCTGCATATGGTCACTGTCCGGGTAGTAGTCGTTGGTGGCTTGGTTGACATCTTCCAGATGCGAGGACAGTTCCTATATTAAAGCGTCTGAGCACTCCATGTGCATGTGTGTATGTGTGCGCTGCAAAATCAATGGCTTACCTTGACTTCGTCTGCCGCCATGCGGTTCTGAATCAGCAGCGCAATGCGGCTGTCGAGATAGCGCACATCCCGTTCCAGCAAAAAGTTCTTTTTCGATTGCGTCGATATCTGGCCCTTCAACTCGCGCAGTTTGCGATGAGCTATGCAGTGTTGTTGTGTGTTAGCCAAAGGATGTCCATTTACCAAAACACAGAAACCCCCTGCGAAAATCATGGAAAATCGCCAAAGGAAAGGGGGACAATAACAAATGCTTTAGTGGTGCATATATACCAACGAAAAGGAGGGCAGGGAGGGAAAAAGAGAGAGAGCACCAACAATGCCTAAAAATAAAGCTCTTGTTTTTTGTGTGGCCTAAACTTTATCCAGAAATGCGGTCCTTACCTTCTGAAAGCTCGTCAGAAACCTCTTCATCGCGTTCGGCCACTATAGAGTACAGCGCTGTCACCGAGTATCTGCGGCTACTGCGGTCCGCATCGCTGCTTTGCATCCCTGACCGCCTGTTTGCTCGCTCGCCTGCATGTGTCCGGTGTATTGGTGCTGAAGGTACCGGTGCTTCGCCCGAGCTCCGGTTGCTGCCGCGTCTGACCGAGTCCATCATTTTTTCCAGCCTTATCTTCCAAAACAATAGAGAAATAAATCCTATTTATGGTGCAGCTCGCTCAAAAAATAATAATAATAATACTAAACTCGGGTTCCTAGGAAAATAGAGCCTGTGATAAGCCTCTGCGCCGGGCTTATTGCAAAGAGTATACGTTAAAGGGAAGAAGACCGTGAAAAAAGGAGGTAAATAGTCGCTGGGTAAGGTCACAATAATAATAATAATAAATTCTCTGTGGAAACAAGAAAGAAAATATTTGAGGGAAAGCTACTTTTGGAAAGATTAAATGCTGCAGACCAGCTTGTTATATGCGCTGAGACTGTTTTGATTAAACATGCAAAATACAATCCGGTCAATCGAGTTTGGATGCGAACCCAGCCACTCCTCCACCGTCGACAAAGCAACCGAGCATGCGGATTCTACCGGGTATCCAAACACTCCTGTAGAAATACACGGAAATGCAATGCTGCGCACGCTGTTGCGCTGCGCTACGTTGAGCGATTCGCGGTATGCACTTGCCAGCAGCTCTGGCTTCTCGCCTATTGGTCCAACCGTATGGATGACATATTTTGCTGGCAGATTAAAGCCCGGTGTGATCTTAGCCTGGCCCGTTGGGCACCCCTTGTGCGCCCGGCATGCCTCCAGCAGCTGCGGCCCTGCTGCTCTGTGAATCGCCCCGTCCACTCCTCCGCCGCCCAGCAGCCGCTCGTCAGCTGCGTTGACTATTGCGTCCACTTGCAGTGTAGTTATGTCGCCCTTCCATATGCTGATCTGCGAAAGAAGCGGCTTGCTGGAAACTGCACGCCCCAGCTGCTCGGCAACGGTTTGGATATCTGATATTTTGGTAATCCTGGCCATTTGCACAATTGAAATAGATGAGGATTAGGGCATAGTGTCTTGCTCTGCATTGCCACATGTTTGCTTTCAAATGGGCAGTTATGGTTCTGCTGCATATGTGTCTGTCCATTATGCAAAGAATGCTGGTGCTTTGAAGGCTAGTAAACAATTAACGATCCATAAGCTAAAACAAATCAACACAATTGAGAAATCGGGATATCAACACCAAAATTTACACTTTTTATGGCATTTGTTTATCGACGCATATACCGCATTCTAGTTCTATTAGGTCTGCTACTGGTATTTGTGCTATGGCGCAATAGGCACGCGGCAGAAAAGGCCTCAGAGGTTGTCCGGTACACGCCGCCACTGCCGTCATTGCCTACAGGCTCAGCACAGCCGCAGTCGTGTTTTGTGTTTATTACGCGCTCCATGTCGCTGACCAAAGTACGGCGTACAATGTTTGATGTCGAGAAGCGCTTTAATGAGCGGTACCATTACCCCTACATCTTTCTCAGTGAGAACCACTTTTCGGATGCCTTTAAAGAAGGCGTAACCAAGATGGCCAGCAGCCCCGTCCATTTTGCTTTGATAGAAGACTGGCAAGAGCCCGAATGGATCGACACCGATCGAGTAAATGACCGAATAGGGTTCCGCAATATGCTACGCTATTGGTCTGGCCCGTTTGCTTATCATCCGGCTATTCAGCCATACCGCTATATATGGAGGCTAGAGCCCGGGTCACACTACACCTGCGACTTTGAGTATGATCCGTTTGTAGAAATGAAGCACAGACAGCTAAAGTATGGCTTTGCCATATCCATACAGGAGATCCCCAGCGCTGTTCCCTCGCTATGGCAGTCATTTGAACAATATATCGCCCAGCATTCAAGCAGGGGAAACAGCACGCTGGATTGGCTGGTGGACGCAGACTTTAATCGGTGCCAGTTTTTAACCAACTTTGAGCTAATTGACCTGGACTTTATGCGTTCTACCGAGTACCAGGAACTGTTCAATTTTATGGACAAACAAGGCGGCATTTATTACGAGCAGTGGTCCGACGCATCTATAAGGTCACTAGCAGTGGCGCTGCTGCTTTCTCGCAAACAAGTGTGGTGGCTAGCTGATGCTGGGTACTCTCATGATTTGCTGTCCAACTGTCCGTCAGATCCTCACCGACAAAGGCACTGCCATTGTGATCCAGCCAAAAGCACTCATCTATTGCCGATGTCTTGTTCTGTTTACTGGAAGCAAGGATAGCTTTTAACGTGTATTTGGTTTCTGGACTGCCAGACCTCACGTTTTTTGTACTTGCTACTAACCAGTAACAAAACAA